ATAAAAATATGTATATAAAAAGTGTATAATTACAAATGAATTCTATAAAATTTTAATTAAATCAAACACAATCATGTGAATTTTTATCATTAAATTAAAATAAAAATTTTTGTAATAAATCAAGCGCAATAGATTTAAAAATTGCATTCCACACTTTTTTATAGAATAAAAGTTTGCGCCCTCCGTTATCAAATTGGAATAAGGTTGAGTCCTTCTTAATACTCCTATATTTTTCAGCTTTTTGATGAGTAATACATTTTCCTTTAAATATGTCTAACCATCTGCACTTTTTAAAATAATTTAAAGTAACTCTTCAAAAAATTTATAAAAATGTAAAACGCTAGATCTATTGGATTGCTATTCAACCCCTAGCCCAAACTCGAAACCTAGTTAATCTCCATTAAAAAAAAAAAGGGACAGTGAGATTAATTTTTTATATTTTCTAATTACTCTTCCGCAAAGAAACAAAAATAATGAAATAAAATGAGGGAAATGAATTAAGTACCTTATCGTTGAAAAGTGAGATGCCGCTGCAATTACCACTGTTGAAGAAGCTAATCAGTTTTGGTAGCCTTCTTAATGTTAAGGACTGCAGACTGCCACCAAGCTTACATCCTTCACTTTCTTCAACGATATCATTTCCGTTGCCTTGCTCCTCCACGTCATCAATAATCTCTTCAATGTTGTTGCAATTTTCTACTGTTATTTCTTGAAGTTGAAGCTGTCTGGTCATGGAGAAGGAGAACAGATTCTTCAATTGATGACAATCAACAACGGTTATCTTTCTTAATACTTTAAAAGGTGCTGCTCCAGTCAGACCATGACATATCTTCTCCATTTTTTCCAAATTGGAAAGGGTCAATACCTCCAACATGGGAAATACCTGGGAACGAAGCAACCTCCCTGCCGGGTTAAAGATGCCTCGAATGTCTGGACCATTTTGGACATGGAGACACTTCAGATGTGGAAAACCTTCATCATCTAACTCCTCAACTAAACCCTGGACACCATTTAATCCCTCTAGATACAGTTCCTCTGTCTTCTTCAACAACTTCTTAACTGAGTTATTAGATTTAATGCTTGCACCCTCCAGCTTTAGCTTCATCATTTTTGAGCTTTCAAAAGAGCTGCTCCAGGAGTAACTGTGCCAAGAGTAATCGCGCCAATACCCCCAAAAGCGCGGAGGCGGCTGTTCCACTATTCCTATGAAAATCTTGAACCTTTCCAAATTTTCAGGAAACAAAGTTCCTCGGAAATTAGGAATACGTACCTCTAAAGCAGTGAGCATATGCAGCTCTGTTAACTCAGCAAGCCCAGCATTTCCTCCCTCCACATCATCCCATTGGTCAAAGCTGTTTCCCATTTTTAGCTCTTCCAATTTGGACAATCTTGCCAAGACTTGTCGTGGAATTACTCTCAGTTTGGTGCAGTCATTCACATCTAACAACTTTAGCTTGGTTAACTTTTCCATTTCTCTTGGCAACTCTTTAATATCACAGCCTGCAAGGCTGAGGACCTCTAAATTCTCCAGATTCCCCATAATGGCTCTGAGGCCTTCGATTTTAAACGCACATCGATCTAGAAGTAAGGAATGAAGGTTTGTTGGGATCAAGGGAATTGGCAAAGGCATTGACTTAAAGTCAACTTTAGTCAAACACAAGACATGGAGTCCATCTGCTTTTTTAAAGAACTCTGATGGAAATTGTAGAGACTGAGCCTTGTTAGACAGATAAAAGAAAGTGAGCTGCGGACATCGGAACTCATTGGCTGGAAGCTCAATATCACCATTCGGCAAAGAAATCCACTTCAATTTTTCTAATGACTTCTTATCTTTCAACTTTCTGCTTGCAGCTTCATCGACTAAAGCTAATCCACCGCGGTCTCTGAAAGCAATATAGAAGGCAACCTCCTGAATCTGATCGTGCATCTGAAAATGCAAACTGCTCTTACCATCAACTAACAAAGATGAACTTTTGAGATGACTGACCAATCTTAGTACTTTGGCTCTAGTCTCTTCTATTGTGTTCACCTTTTGAAATAAATCCAAGCCCATGCCACATTTTAACAAGTCATCGATCGAAGAGTTACGGCTTAACAAACTACAAAGAATGAATGTTTGCTTGAGCTCCTCTTCTTTCAAGTTAATGTAATTCAACTCTATGGGATTATAAACAGCTGCAGATATCCCCTCTGGGGAAGGCTTTTTTAATTCTGTAAGAGCATCGTCCCACTCAAATTGTTCAGTCTTCCTTCTCATGGCCTTTCCAACAGATACAATAGCAACAGGCAACCCGAGACATTTCTCAACAATCTCTTTAGCTTTCTGTTGAAAATCAGAGTTTTCAATATCGCTGCCAACAGTCTTCTTGAATAGATCCCATGGTTCATCATCTTCTAATTTACGCACCTCAAAGATCGGATCTTTCTCATCTATTATTCTAGAGAGAACATGGTGAAATCTGGAAGTTAGTAGAATCTTGCAGAGCATATCTTCTTCTCCAGATGAGCTTTCTTCATTCTTTCTCTCCGTAGCCTGCTTCATCTCACTTTCAGAAGGGATTCCGAATTTCTCGAAATGTTGTTCTACATCAGTCTCCCAAACATCATCCAAAATAAGAAGTACTTTCTTCACTTCCTTCAGCTTTGCCCTTATTGGATCTGCAAGTTGTCGATGTGTATCCGTGAAAGAAAGAAGATCCATATCCAAGTCGCGTGCGATCTCTTCTTGAATACTTTTCACTTCCCAGCCCTTCGTCACCGTAGCCATAACTACTGCAGTGAACAAGCTGTCTTTCTTGGCTTTTGCTTTAACCATTTTTACAAGCATCGTCTTCCCCATCCCAGAAGTCCCATGCAGTCCGATCCTGTTAACGGTTGGACTTCTTAGTGCCTCCATGATCTGGTCCAAAACAATCTTTCTCGAGCGGAACTCCTCAAAACCTTCCACAAGTGTGGCCACGTCCTGTTGTGGAGAAGGAGCGTGGGAAAGTGGGAGGGGGCCGAATCCACGAGCTACTTCCAGATGTTGAACAATATCCTTGGAATTCTTCTCTGCTTCCTTGCTGAGCTTGTAACGAGGAATGGAATTGGGACACAGCCGAAAGAAACACTCCTTCTTGGCAAATTCCTCACCAGCCCCTTTTAATTCCTCTCCAGCTTCAACGAGCTTGCCTGCGCTATCCAGCCAATTCCGGATCTTCACATCCACACCTTTCCCTGTTCTGCTAACCTCCTTTTCATATTTCTCCACATGCTCCATTTCAGTCTGCAGCTCGTCAACATGATTCTTCAGATTCTGAACATTCTCGTTGCACTTGCGCACAACAGTGATTCGAACAGTGATTGGATTTAAAATAAAATTTAAAATCCGATCAACTATGTTCTCAGCAACTTTGTCAACAACAGCGTTGGTAATTGGATCGGGCATTTTTTTTTTTTTTTTGGTTTTTTGGGAAGGGAGGAGGGGTTTTCAGAAATATGCAGATGAGAAAACGAAATTAGAGACAAAACAAGTGAACAACAAGGCCAAAGAAATCAAATAGTGGGAAGAGTACTGGAATTGAAGAGATGGATATATAATTGCATAAAGGATTTGGTTGAGGAGAAGGGAATGAAAAAGAAGGTTTTTTTTTTTTTTTTTGTGGGCTGAGAGAGTCAAATTGAGATAATGAAACAAAGGGTGAGATTAGTGAAAGATTAAGACTAAATCACTAAAAAGATGAAAACGGGT